TTAATGCTGGACGTTTGTTGAGAAAAGGCAACGGAAAGTTGGTTAATTTATTTATTAGAATAATTAATATTTGTCTTAAGGGATATTGCATATTTCATTGTAATTTTGTTATATGTATTTCTTTTTATGAAGTTGTTCTGCAGGGTAAAATTCTGCTCATTTTTTAAATTTAAGTTTGATGCTCCCTTCAGGCATTTTTTCGGTACATTTAAAAGCTAGACGAAGCCTAGCAGCGTAGCTCCTAGTGATAAAATAAAAAAGGGTAACGGCTTATACGTATTACAATGCAATTTAATTAACAGATTCCAATATTTAGACGCCTTATGCTTTTATTATTGGCGATATAAAATCGTTGATGAATTTTGTAAATAGAATTTTTTAATCTATTATTCTCGTTAAACTACATGATAAATTATTTTTCTCTTTTTACTGCATTAATTATCATAACCATTTTAAATAAAAGCTTATTGTATCAAAACTATTTTTTTAAATGGTGTTTTATTCTGTTGCACAGCATAGGTATAATATATAGTATATACTTTTAAGGCAGCAGCTTCCGAGGCATATCATTAATGCAGTGATGTTTTTCCTTATGTATTTCCAATAGCCATTGTCTAATCTACAAGTACGATGTGACCATGGTTGTAAACCACAAAAACGGAATTATTATTGACGATTAGCGTAGGCGTGTGGTTTAAATTCATAAAAATCATTACATACTTAATGTCACTTGGAAAAAATTTAATTCGTTTTTTCATAATGCGAGAAACATACATGCGTTTATGTAGATTCTTTATTATTTAGTTTCTTTTAATATAATACAAGGCGATAATATTTGTGGGCAAAAAACTGAAAAGTGAAACGGACATTCGTAGTGAAACAACACAAAATTCCGTTCATGTGAAATAAAATATGAAAAAATTAAATACGATATGATATAAAATTCTTTAAAATGAAAAAAATGATGAGAGAAAGTTAAAATTCTGGGTTGCAAAAAGTTACACTTTGTCACAGCAAGATAGTCTTCAGTATTTCTCGCAGGAAAAGAGAAACTGTAAGAAAATCCTACCCAGTTCTCCTTTCCTATCTATTTATTTTATCCGTGTTATTCGGCCAGTCCTATTAAGTTGCAGAAGAGATGTAGAATTTGAACTGCTCATTTAACAATATTAAAAAAAAAAAAAAAAGAAAAGAAAAAAGAAAGAAAGAAAAATCGTGATGGAATAACCTTCTCCTAAAACTGGTTTTGTATGGCCTTGCTGAATTTTCTCCTCAGTTCACTTTTCGATCTCAAGTTAATGCAGTACGTAAATGAATAAGTAAGGATGTTAATTTAAGTGTGAAATTAATTAACAATACTTTTTAAGGTAAGTGCATAAAATCATATGTATAATTTACGCATGTGTTAATCCAAAGTTTAAATTTACTTCTATTCATATTATTTTTGATTCGATGCTCAAAATTTTAAAATATGACTTCTAACCTTCATAACTTGTATTTATGGACTCTTTTATATTGATTTGATAACTTGTATGTGGACTTATTCTGAATAATTTTAGTGCCGTTATGTTTAATAAAAACCTGATTGTACGCATTTAACTTCCTTATTTGTTTTTATCAGTTGGTTATATTAGCGTAACAGTCATGAAATCAGCTCAAGACTACTACATGTTATCGTACAAATTCTAAAATGTTGGCAATAAATTTATATGAAGAGTAAAGAATTTCCAATGTCATCAAAGTAGTATCATGCAAACAAATTATAATTAAATTATATTAATAAAATGTGTTTGAATCATTCCATTCGTTTAAATCGATAAAATGATTTCATAACCATTTGACAACTCGCGCGGCGTATTTGGTTACGTAACTATGGCGGAGTTATATAACAGCCAATTACGAAAGAGGGTGTGTTCTCTTGTATCAAAAGATGCATACAATTTTTGCGTAACAGAATAAAACATTTACGTAAATAACAGCCTCAAATTTAACTAGGAGTTAAATTAGCAAAGAATCTCTTCTGCAACCTGATAAAATTTGTCAGTATACGAATAGAATGTTAATTCCGAAAAGATTATGAAAAATGCTGAATTTTTCAGTAAAATCAGGGAAGAAAAAGGAAAAGAAAAGAAAGAGTTTTTATTGTTGTTTTAATTATGTTGTTAAATGTTGTTTTTGTTCTCATTTACAGCAAACTGCATTTAGAATAATTCGATAGAAGCTTATATTATAAATCTTTTTTTAAATACATGACACTCGAAGACTTTTTATATCTTCGTTTATGGTTCATAAAATTTAATAAAAAACGCACGCATCAGTGCAAATAGTTTTTATAATTTAACTTTAGTTATTCAATTCAATAACTTAACTAATTTTTCTTTTGAATTATTGATTTGAAATGTCTTCAATAAAAGAAAGCAGAATATTCTTCCTATTTTGAAAAGAAGTTCATTGAATTCAACTGCATAATCTTACAGCAAGTGTGCCGCTCAGAAAAGAAAGTGGTCAGTAAATCTGACTGTCATACCGAAAGATCACGCCGGAGGCATGAATGTAAATTGTCTGTCCTTTCATAGGAGGCAACGGTGGCTGTCTATAAGGTTCCTGCATAATGAAAAATTGCCATCGCTTTTGGCTTTAGTAGTGGCCAAAGCACTGAAATGGCTATAGCTCGCCATTTAAAAAAAATCAATAAATAAAAAAATCTGAAAGGTTTCAGATTTTAAATTACGTACAAATTAGGCGTTTTTTTACATTTTGTGTACTACCTTTATTTATTAAATATCATTTTCTTCGCACTTAAACCATAAAATTCAATTCAAGAGCAATATCGCAAAATAATTTTAAACTGAGCATATCTTTAAAATTTCCGATACACAGTCTCGTGCGCCGGAGATAAAAATGTTTTTTCTGTACAACGTTGCCATGGCTCGCTTTCAAATCCTTGAGTTTGTTAATCAACAATTCGTTAAAGTTTTACAAAATAGGAAATTGATAATAAAAGAAATTCCAAATTTCAAATTTGGGCTTCCAAATGCTCATATTCGTAGGAGGATTACGTCATTCAAAATTAGATGCCTCTAGGTACCGTTATTTTATCCCAATGCGAGAAATAGACATACATTTATGCATATTTTTCATTATTTAATTTCTCCAAATATAACGCAGGACTCTAACATTTAGTGGCAACAGTTTGAAAAGTGAAACGGACATTTATAGTGAACCAACGCAAAATCGCAAAACGAAAACAATAGTCCCTCAGAGACAAAGCCTCTTTGGACTAATAAAAAGGAAATCTCATAACATAATGTTCAGATTAGTCTTTCGAAATAATAGCACAAATTATTAATATTTAAATGAACTATATTCTATAATTATGTAATTGCAAATATAAAACTATAAAGATTTATTTTTGCTTTAAACATTTTAATAAAATCCCTTCAATGAATAGGGAGAAACATATTAGGAAATACTTAACGTACTAATTTTATCAAAATTATTATGTAATTTTGGTCTCCTCATCGAATGAAATACAAAAAAAAAAAAAAAAAAAAAAAAAAAAGAAAGAAAGAAAGAGTTTTTTTAGTCTAACTGTAGAAATTATTCGCTGTTTGAGAAGAGAAATTTTTCTTCCATGTACTTTCAAAAATGAAACTTTAGAGATTTAATGATACTAGAACTAGAATGTGAGGTGTTCTTTGAAAGAATCGTATTTGTATATGAATTTAGTATATAAGTAATCCGTTTCATAGATGTAGAAGTAATGAAAGCTAAGCCGACATATTGACAGCATATTTAAAATCAATTAAAAGGCCTTATATCTAGCAATTCAAACTAATTGAATACTTATTTTAGAAAAGAGGCATAGGATGCCCATAATTTATTCACAATATCTAACTGTTTTTACTGTAAAAAGTATTTTAAAAACTTCATCTCTATTCACACTAAAAACTCGAGCGTTTTCAGTAAACACTGTTTTCCTTATTAATATATTTCTACATGGACAACCTTGTATTTATTAGTTTCCAAATATATTGAGGTTTTCTTTCTACGTTTTGCGAGGTCATGTTTACGATGGATGCCACAGTTCCCTCGATCCTGCATTTCAGATCCACTTTCTTAGTGTGGCAGTTGCCATATCCATTTTCAAAGTTACATTTACTTGCATTAGTTCCGTTGACGGTAAGCTACGAATCAGGTAAGATGTTTTAACTGCTGAAAAAGGCCACTAGCATGTTGGGGAATTCCAGTAAAAGGCTCTAACAGTATCTTCCCAGTACTGTGCCCACCATATAATAAAAACCATTGATAAGGAAAATATCAAGGTTAGAAATTCTGTGGACGTAATGGCAAAATATTTCTTCTGAAATATTTTTCGCCCTGCAGGTATTTTGAACTGTTAGCCGGAAATACATTTAAAGGATTTCTGGATATACTGTATATTTCAGTTGCATAATATTAAATACTTATGCCATCTAGAAATATAATTTTGAGCTAGTACTTATTTGTTTAACTCTTCTAAATGTCAGAGAAGAAAAACTTTTAATTCCAAAAAACATGAAATGTATATCAAGCAATGAATTTTAATTTAATCCTCTTATATATTTCAGATAAAAATTTAGCTCTATTATACAATGAGTCATTTATGTACTTATATGCTAAATACCAAAATAATTAGATTTTTATACTATTCCAATTTTTTTACTATAACAGATAGTGCAGTGATTATTTTATAGAGACTTGTGTTAAAGTACATTTAAAAGACTTGAATTCATATATACTGAAACTTCCTAATTATGAAAAAAATATTCGCTGCTTTAGGGAGTTAGTCGCCTTAGCGAACATAACTGTCGATGATGTTCAGTCAAAATGATTAAATTTGTATGCAGTTTTGGGCTTTACAGAAGTGCGAAATCAGTAGAAACACCTACCACCCCTGGTAACCGAAACGGCTTTTACACATGGAAACACAGGCATGGAGTTTGAACTAGGCTTTGATGACAGAAACAAGCAACTCATTACATGCTGCTTTACGTGTATGCCACACTTCGTCAACCGTATTAACTGGAGAGGGATGGTAGGCCAGTCTCTCAGCAACCCATAACCGGGTGTTTTCAATGCGTGACAGATCTGGCAGACCAAGGTAGCTGTTTATGTGAGTATCGTTTGCTTCATTTTATTGTTGCAAACAGCGTAAATTCCTTTTGTTTTTCTTCTTTTAGTTTTGAACTTTATGTGTGGCAACAAGTTTATTGATTGATAGAATTGTGTTTGTGACAGCCATGTAGAATGGCTCGCTTATTTTGTATCAATTATTTCGCATCTCTGACAAGTGTAATTTAATAAAAGTGTAGGAATACAGTCCATTTGTTGATTGATTATTGTTTGTGAATCATATTAAGTTTAAGACCATTTATTGTTGGACAAAAGTCTAGCCGGAGAGCTAGTGAAGATAGTGACTGTTCTAAGTGTATTCTAACAACGCAAATATGCATATGGTTGGTGAATTATCCACTTTGTGAGGTAAGTGGATTTTGAACAAAAATTCGTTTAATTTGTTGTTAAATTATAAGAACAAAGTTGTAATACAACATAGAATTCGATTTCATTTTAATAATAGTGTTAAGTGATTTAAGAACAATTTCCGTTTTTGAATTGCTCAATTATGAGTGAACTTATAACTTTTAAAACAAAAAGAGCGGTCTTACGCAGGAGTGTTACTAATTATGTAAAGAAAATTGAAACTATTTTAACTGCAGATGAAATTAATTTAATAGAACTAGAGGAATGTGTTGAATTATTGACACAAAAAGAAACTGAGTTAAGGAAGCTTGATTCTGAAATCGAAAGTTTAATTACAGATACTAAAGAATTAGAAAACGAAATAGGTAATGTTCAGGAGTACACAGATAAAATTTATTTGTGGAAATTTAAAGGTGAAAAAATATTTAAAAATCAAAATAATAAAAATAATTCTAATAGTGTAATTTCAGAGCAGGTTCTTGACAATATTAAATTACCCAAGTTAACATTACCGACTTTTGGTGGTAATATTACAGAATGGATAGCTTTTAAAGATCTTTTCAGAGCTTGTGTAAGAAATAATACAAATTTATCTAAAGCTCAAAAATTGCAGTATTTGAAGGCTTCGTTGAAAGGTGAAGCATATCGCATTATTCAAACCATTCAAATTTCGGATTGTAATTTTGAAATAGCATGGAATCTGTTAGACGAAAGATATTCAAATAAGAGAGAACACATTTTTGCATATATTAAACGTTTTTTTAAGTTTACCAACTATTCAAAATGAATCAGCATTTGCTATTTTAAATTTAGTTGACAATATTAATGAAGTAATTCGTTCTTTAGAAGTATTGAATCAAACCATTGATAATTTTGGTGACACTTTAATGACTTATTTAATTTTGCAAAAATTAGACCCTTCTACAAAATTATGGTGGGAACGTCAGTTAAAATCTAATGAAATTCCAAAACTTACGACTTTAATTGAATTCCTAAAAAACTATGCAAGAACACTTCAAAATAGCAAATCAACAAGTAATAAGGTACCTAAATCTGTGTTTCAAAATAAGAATAATGTTCTGGTTGCTACTTTGGGTTGTGGTTATTGTAAAGAAGATCATAGTTTAGCCAAATGTTCGAAATTTCTAAATTTATCGGTTCAGCAAAGGATAGAATTGTAAAATCTAATCGTTACTGTTTTAATTGTTTATCTAATATGCACTTGCTCAAAAAATGCAAGAGTTTAAATACATGTCAACATTGCTTTAAGAAGCATCACAGTATTTTGCACATTGTAAATAATTCAAAGAATAAAACTCAGTTAAACAGTATATCTCCGCCTACGCAATCTATCATTAAAAGAGATGAATTAACGAGTCCTAAGGACGTTTCAGCCACAGTTTGTGCCTCTCATTATGATTCGAATGCAAAAGGTAATCAAAACAGTCACATTTTATTGTGTACTACTTTAATAAAAGTTCAAAATTCTAAGTAACAATTTGTGAAGTGTAGATGTTTATGTGACACTGGATCTCAGAGATCATTTATTTCAAGGGATTGTGTGAAGAAATTAGGATTACGAGTGAAAGATAATTCCATTTCTGTATCATGTCTAGGAGAATTTAATACTATAAGTAATGGGGAAGTCGATTTAGTATTCACTTCTCATTTTAAAAGTGATATTCGTGTATCAACATCAACGTTTGTACTGGACAAGGTGACAGATAACATTCCCTATGTATCTTTGCCATCAATCATCTTCGTTAACTTCAGTGATTTACAATTAGCTGATCCATTATTTTACAAGTCACAACCAGTTGACATTTTATTTGGAGTAAATGTATTTCTGCATTTAATGACGGGGAGAAATTGTCAAACGTGGTCCTGATCTACCATTTGCTCTAGAATTCGAGGTTGGGATGGATAATTTCGGGTACTACAAATTTTGAATCTACAAATTTTGAGCCAGTATATGTAAATCATTTGAATACAAACACAGATGAGTTAGTAAATTCTTTCTGGGAGTTAGAAAAGTTTCCAAATGTACAACCTTTAACAAATGAAGAAAAACTTTGTGAAGAACATTTTAAAAACTCGCATTTTAGAGACACATCAGGTCGTTATTCAGTTGCATTACCATTCAAACATAATAGAGATATTCTAGGTGACTCCCGTGAAATGGCGTACAGAAGATTTCAATACTTGGAGAAGAGACTGTTATCTATGAAAGAAATTTACAACCAGTATATTCAGTTTATGAAAGAGTACTTTTCACTAGAACACGTAGAATTACTGCCAGATGTTGCATAATCGAGAAAATATTGTTAAGAATTTTATTATTACTATTTTTATTATTATTGTCTATTTTTCAAAAGTGTGTTTTTGTTTTATTTATTGTGTGAAGTTGTAACTATATGTCTTTTCTTGTGTGACAACAACGCTTCTGTAATTCTTCAATTTGAACTTTTGGATGTGTGCCAGGTTTGATGGCGTAATGCTCTGGTGAGAGCGTCGATTGATTGTGTAGATGAAACATGTTGTTTCAGAACGTTATTTCTTTAAAATATGTAAAATAAATGTTTTGTTTTCTGAACTCGGATTATGCAAACGTTATTTAGTTTCAACATAAAAGTTTGGCGTCCGTTTGACAGGACGTTTGTGTGATTTCGAGTAGTTTTGATTTAGGCGTTTTGTTAAAATGGAGTTGTTAAAAGCAAAACGTAAAAGTGAACGTACTTCGTTTACGTTAACTACGAAGATTGTGGAAGAAGAATTGCCTACTTGTACGGATCCTGAGAGATTGCAAGTGTTGTTGGGGCAACTAATTGACAAATTTGAACGCTTGGACAGTACTCAAAGCAGTGTTTTAGAACAAACCAAGGAAGCTGATTTTGAGAATGAATTTAATACGGCTGAAGGATACAGAGATTCCTTTATAGCTTTAAAGGTGAAACTTCAGAATAAAATTGGACAATTGAATTCGATGAATGTTACTACAGATATTGCTTCAGTTTCGATTTCGGATCCTAAAGAAAATAAAAACAGGAAGTTCAAACTTCCTAAGCTTGAGCTGAAAAAATTTTCTGGAGATGCAAGAGAAATTTTTAGGCTTTTGGAGCCAATTCTCCAAAATTCATGAAGATGCGGATATTGTGCCGGAAGATAAATTTTTGTACTTAGTGCAAAGTGCAGTACCTGGCTCAAAGGCAGCTCAACTTTTGAACAGTTTTCCTGTTACCGCCGCGAATTATCCTAAAGCTATCGAGCAGCTGAAAGAAAGATTTGGTAGAGAAGACCTTCTGGTGCAGATCTATGTAAGAGATTTGCTTGGGCTTGTTACAAAGAATGCTACAACAGGCAGAACGGCGTCGGACTTAGGAGTACTTTATGATAGTATAGAAAGTAAATTACGAGCGCTGGAAAGCTTAGGACGCACCAAGGAAAAGTTTGCTGATTTCTTGGGACCTTTAGTGGAGTCGTGCCTACCTGAGAATATTCTACGTGCCTGGGAGCGGAGTCGAACTTCTGAACAGGGACAGGAAAAGAGTTCTGAAAGAACGCTTGAAAAACTAATGTGTTTTTTAAGGCATGAAGTAGAATCGGAAGAAAGAAATGATTAGATTAGCACAATCAGGATTTACTCATTCTGTTAAGCGTCTTAATAAAAATGTTATTTCAGGTAATTCAGATTTAGCAACAGCTGCCGCGCTGGTAAGTACAAATGAAACCAGTAAAGGTAAGCAAAATGTTTGTATATTTTGTGGTAAGCCTCATATGAGTGCTAAGTGTTTTAAAGCTGAAAATATGAGCTTAAATGAAAAGAGGCAACTTGTACAAAAGAAAGGTGTTTGTTTTTCATGTTTAAGAATTGGCCATTTAAAAAAACCAATGTAAAGCCAATATTAAATGCCCCATTTGCAGTTGTGATCATATAAAATTTATGTGTCCTCAGAATGTTAGTTCTGTAAAACAAAATGACTCTAAGTTGGATGTTTCCCTTTCTAATAATAGTAAGAGCGAGAAAGTTTATTTGCAAACTTTATGTGTTCTAATTAAAGTTAAAGATCGAGAGAGAAAAATTAGGATTCTCTTGGATTCGGGATCCCAACGATCATACGTTGGGGAGAAAATTATGAAGCGAATGAAGGCTGATCCTATTCGACAGGAGTTCCTATTCGACAGGTTGTTAGGAGAAAGTAATTCATGGTTTGTTTGGGGGGAGGGAAACTGCGCCTGTAACCCATTCTGTTTTTGCTATTGACATAAGCAGTTTAGATAACACTTTTAGGTGTTGGTTTGAAGCTTTTTCTGAAAAAAAGATTTGTGGATTTGTTCCAACAATCAAGAATGCTCAGATTATAGAGGAATTGAAAAGCAGGAAAATTGAGGTCAGTGACACATTTTGCGAGGAAAGTGAAATTGATTTATTGATAGGTGCAGATGTCATTGGTAAACTGTTAACTGACGAATACCTAGAATTACCCTCTGGTTTAACTGCAGTCAAAACAAAACTGGGTTGGACGGTTATGGGTAAAGAAAATGATACTGTCAGGGATAATGCCCTAATAAGTCTTTCCTTACATGTAAATAATGCTTCTTTGAAATCTTTATGGGAGCTTGAAGTTTTGGGTA